GAGGGGGGGGGGGGAAGGCGAAACAAAGAAAATAGAAAGGACATGGGGTAATGAAAAAGGTGAAGGTAGTGTGGTTGAAGAGGAGGCTTAAAGGTAGAAATTATCAATGATGGTGTCGAACAAAACATTATCACCAAAAATTGCCTCTAACAGTAGTGTACTATGGTTGTAACAGCCCAATTTTTCCCTGGGCCAAGGGCCCAATTCGTTGCCCGGAATGGGCTGTTTCAAAAGTGAAACGGGTCGTTCCGAAATAAGAAAATGCTTAGAAAATGAAGTGGGAGAACGGGCCGTTCCAATTGGAGAACGGGTCGTTCTGGTTTGGAGAACGGGCCGTTCTAGAGGGAGAACGGGCTGTTCTGCTGGGTTTGAGAATGGGCCGTTCCGGTTTTAGAACGGGCCATTCTAGTTGAGAAATTTGCGTAGGTTTGAAGGGTCCAGAACGGGCGTTCCACTTTTGGAACGGGCCGTTCCGGTAGGTGAGTCTGAAATCCTATAAATAGCGCCCCTCACCTGTCATTTTCACACATCTCTCATTCTCTCTTCCTATTCTCTTCTGTTTTCTCTTCTCTCCCTCTTCTTCTCTCTGAAGACCAAGGGACACTTAGAGGAGGAGACCAAGAGATCCCTGTTTTAGTTCAACTGGTGTCTATCCAGGTACGGGGGAAAAGGGAATTATTTATATGTAGAGTTACATGAGGGAATTGGGTAGAGGAAGAATCCTTAGGATTATGAGTAATTTTATAATTATTTCTATTTGAATGATTATTGGTCTTATTTGATTCTATATGTATTTAGGAATATGGATATATGATTAATTGGTAAAAATGAAGCTCTGGGAGAGAGAACGAAATTATAGAAAAGTGTCTGTAAGTTAGGTTGTGAAAATTGGATGATTTCTGTTTGGGAAATTGATGATCTCATTAGATTCGGTATGTGTTGAGGATTATAAATGTGCTAATAATTTGTAAGAATGATGATCTGGGAGAGAGAACGAAATTGTAGAAAAGTGCCTGTGAGCTAGGTTTTGGAAAAATTGGGAATTTTACTGTTTATGTTGAAATTATATTAAATTGGTAATTCTGTTGAGTATAATATTAATTTATGAATATTATTGTTATATCAATTGATAAGAATTGATGATTTATATGTGAATTGCTTGAGGTGTATGAAACCCTTATTTTGTTGGACTTATCCGTGGTGTGTATGTGATATGTTATTGAGCTATAAGATGAGATGTGATGAATGTGAATATGATTATGATTGAGGTTCCTCACATCAATGACTAGGGATGGCACGACCCCTGGGTAAGTGATGCTACAGGGAGGGCGTGACCCTGGCATGATGTGGGATGAGTGAGACAATTAACACGTATCACTTATGTCAGTTGTGGCGTGGCCTTGACATCGTGTTAATTGTAAGAATTGTGTGGTTTGTGATGTGATTGTGGTTCTTCACACCTATGACCAGGGGTGAGCACGGCCCGAGATTGTTACATGGGTATCGTGACCTTGGTTAACATGTCGAGGGTGAGCACGACCCTGGGTTAGGGGTAACGTGACCTCGACATAGTGTTATATCAGGGGTGAGTACGGCCTTAGATTGTTACGTGGGTATCGGGACCTTGAATAACATGTCGGGGGTGAGCACGACCCTGGGCTAGATATGCTACAGGGGGATCGTGACCTTGACACAGTGTTATATTGGGGGTGAGCACAACCTTGGATTGTTAAATAGGTAACGTGACCTTGGCATAGTGTGAAGTGCAAGATTTGTGATGATTGATGTGATTGCGAATTATGACGTGATGATGATGTATGATTGATCAAGTTATGATATGTTGAAATGTTTATGAATATTTTATTAAGTATAGAGTCATAATGAGACGATATGTTGTGTTTTCCTTATGTGCTTTATATATAGATGTTTTCTTTTCTCACCGTATAATTTGTGGATGTTTTAGGTGAGGAAGATCCAGCTATGAGTGACATCTAGAGTGTCAACAATTGATTTATGGGTATGCTATGATATTGTGACATCGGGGCAAAAAATTTCTAGGACATGAATTGTATTTGTATACGGAGTTGAACCTATTATTTTGAAAACATTTTGTAACCTCTTATGTTTTATTTTCCAAGTTTCATTTTCAGAATATTTTGGATATTGAAGAATGTTTCTAAAGGTTTTATGTGAACCCTTTTACCTATTTTGAAAATTTGATTTCCTTAGTTTATCTATATTATTACAATATATGTGTTGGGGTAGTAAGGGTGTCACATTTATCTATATTATTACAGTATATGTGTTGGGGTAGTAAGGGTGTCACAATGGTGGGTGGTTGAAAAGGAAAAAAAAATTAAGCCTGTTTTGGTGCGAAAAAGTTCATTATAATAATTAAAAACTAATTTGATCTAAAGGTCATTATTAATAGTGCATCATACATCACATGAAACACTAGTGCACCCTAAAACTATATATAAGTAAATATTTTGTTAACATACCAATGTTTGACCTTTCTTAGCATCCAAATCATATAACACCCTTTTCCATCTTCTTTCATTAGCATCAATGACCATTTTATGATGATGTTACATAAAATCTTATCTTCCATGAGTATGTCATTGTCATTTTTAAGTATAATATTTTTATAAATTAAACTGAAAGTTTCAAGAGTTTGATAAAAATTATCTTGTTTACACTCTAAACCTTAGTATCAAATTGAATTTGGTCAAAATATTAAAAAAAACTCAATTTAATTTAATTAAGAGACATAATTTATTCTCATTAGATTGATCCTTATAAGAATAAAATTATACTTTTAGTCACGATTTAATTTAATTTCTCTATTATTAAAAAGTTTAATTTGTTCTTTTAACATTATTATTATTATTATTATTATTATTTTTGTCACAAGTATAAAAAGTTAGTGTTATTGATCTCAATTGAATGAGAAAATCACATTTTATTGTCTTAAAAAATTAATGATCAAATTATACTTTTTAATAACAAATAGATAAAATTAAATCAATTAAATTAAAACAAAATGAAAGATTTAAAGATTATTTATTTTAAAAAAAAGTGAGTACCATAAAGTCTAAAGTCTAAACTAATCCACCAAAACAAAATGTCACGTGGGAAAACTCTCTTGAATTGGGCATGCATGCATTGCCTTCAACTCTTCAAGTTGTTTCATTGACCAAAACGGTGTCGTCTCTCGTGCCAAGCAAGAACCCTATTATTATTGTTATTCCCATTCTCACCCTCAGCACAGCACAGTAGAGCATGGAGGAGGAAGCGAAAGAAACGCAGAGCGCAGTGAGAATATTCGTGGGAGGCTTGGGCGAAGCCGTGAGCGACGAAGATCTCCGAACCCTATTCTCGTCTCTGGGCACAGTCCAAACCATCCGAACCATCCGAACCAAAGGTCGCAGCTTCGCCTACCTCGACTTCCTCACCGACCCTAAATCCCTCTCCAAGCTCTTCAGCAAGGTGAGAACCAACCACCAACAATGCCTCTTGATCGGTTATTACTTCTGCCCTTTATCTAACGCCACGTTTGCGGTGTTTGCCAGTACAATGGGTGTCTGTGGAAGGGTGGAAGGTTGAAACTTGAGAAGGCTAAAGAGGACTATCTGACGCGTTTGAAGAGGGAATGGGAACAAGAGGCTCTCGCTGATGCTACTCAACCACCCCCCGTTGTTCCTCAGGAAGTGCCCAAAAGCCTCAGTGTTTTCTTTCCCAGATTGAGAAAGGTCACTTGTTTAAGTACTTCTTTGTGTTTTGGATTTTGGAATGTGCATTTTAATTTTTTGGTGGTTGGGTATGGTTGTTGAGGGTAGGGGTGAGTATTGGGAAAATCCAAGTGAGATTAGGCAATTAAATAATATATAAGTGGAAAACAGTTCTCACCTTACAATCCGATTATGTAGAGTTGAGTTAGGCTTAAATCCTCTAGTCTAAGAGTGAAGGTGACGTGTAGTAATGTGTTGGGGAGGAGTTAGGTTGGTTGTGTTTGGGTGGTGTGAAGGGTACATGTGGAACTAGCATTTGGGGTGTTGTGTGGTTTTTTGGTAAGGAGAAAACTTAGATGCACTTCCTTAGATGCTTTTGGTGGTGTTCTTTGATCGAGTTGGAGTTTCACCTTGGTAACTTCTAGTTCTTACAAGGTTTTGGTACTGGGATTTGTTTGGATAAACTTCTTTAGAAGCATTTGCAGAAGAGGAAAATAGGAAAACAAAATAAAATTAGCTTTTGTATCAGTAAATTTATAAAATTTTTCTCATATTAGCTTCTCTAGAAACTATTTTTTTAATGTATGCATAAGCTAGTTTTAGTTTACGGAGAAGTTAATTTCAAATTATTTTTTCTCTTAGAAGTGCTTCTAGAGAAGTTTATCTAAATAGACCATTGATCTCCAATCAGAATAAGAGTTTCACCTTGGTAACCTATGTTGACTTTCAATGCAAACTTTTATTGTGTTGAATGTTGATTATTGTGGTAACACTCTAATTCTAATTAGAGAGCAACTCCAAAAAAGCATCTAAGGGGTTGCATCTTAGTTTTCTTCTTAGTGTTAAATTGAAGGGAGAAACTTTATTGAATTAGTATTTAAGAATGTGTAGTAAATCAAGATTGGTCATTTTGGTCTGTTAGGATGGGCCCTGTTAGTTTGGGTTTGTCAGTTGAGAGAGTAGGTCGTCTTATAACCTGTTAGGATAGGTAATTAGTTGGGCTCTTATAAATTGAGGCAGTAGATGAAAGGGGAAGGAAGTTAGTTGATGAGGATTAGTTTTGGGTGGGAGAAACTCGGCTCTAAAGTTCCTGGGGCTTCATTTAGTCATTCTTGCAGATGTTGCCCTTGTTCATTCTGCTATCACATTAGGGATTTGATCAATATAATCACATTTCATTCTAGTTTCGGATCTAGTTTCCATCAGATACTAAGAACATAAAATTTAGACTTCATTGCATCATGGGTCTGGGTAAATGGAAAATCCTTGAAATACCATTAAGGTGAAATTTAAGTCTGAACAAAAGCATTACGTATGTTTCTATAGACTTCATATTATCTAATATCGTTTCTCCCAGAATTTTGGATTAGAGACAATCTAATAGTGCAAATAAACGAACATCCAACTAAGATAAACCCAAGTCCAAATGCAACCGTACACCAGGGGACATGTGGAAATTACTGCATAGTCCTGGTCTAAAATATTGAATAATGCCAAGATAAAAATTTATTATGGCCATTTTAATTTCTACTTCAACTCTTGTTTTTATTTTAATTATTTCAAAATTTTAAGAATATTCCTAGGAATGTCACTGTTGATGCAAGATTCAACTATTAGGATTTACTTCAATCAGGCCATAAATATTGCTCCTCTCTATTGCTGCATCCATTACGAGGAAATGCTTTATCACCAATTCTTTTACTTACCAAAATATGTCTATATACTGATAATGGGAAAGTGTTGTTTCATAAGTTATGCACAAGGCATTTCCAGTGCAATGATTTTAATTTTTTAATTGGTTTATTGATCTATTACGTTGAAATACATTATCTTTTAATTATATAGCATGTATTTTTGTCTTGCCATCATGTTTAATTATGTATAAAATATAAATTAGTGTTAAATTATGTGACTCGGTTTTTACATGCTACATATATACATGTGAGTCAATGTTAAATTATATGACTCGGTTTTTACATGCTACATATATACATGTGAGTCAATGTTAAATTATATGACTCGGTTTTTACATGCTACATATATACATGTGAGTCAATGTTAAATTATATGACTCGGTTTTTACATGCTACATATATACATGTGCAGGTGAAATCCATACCATTCAATGGAACTGGCAAGCACAAATACAGTTTTCAGAATATTAAAGTTCCTCCACTCCCTGTGCATTTTTGTGATTGTGAGGAGCATTGTAGTCCTTTTGTCAATGAAAGAGAAAAGCAATCTATTGATGGGGCAGCTGAAAGTGGTGGAATGAATGATGAAGAGATTAACATAATGAATGCGGTGATGAACAAGCTATTTGAAAAAGAAAAGGTTTCCAATGCCAAGAACCTTGGAGAGGAGAAGGATTCTTTTGAATCACCTGATGCTTTACATTCTGATGAATGCGAAGATAGTGCAACAGATGAAGATGATCTCATTATTAACATGCAGACGAGGAAAAATAAAACAGCTTTAATAGGGAACCAGGAACTTGAAAAGATCTTGGAAAATCAGGTTATTTATTTTTTCTTTAATTTGGGCTGGGGTGGTAGGAGTTTAATAAATTAGGTTCTAAGGGGTAATATCAGTTTCCTTTTTATCAAAGAATAGGTAGTCTATTTTATCTAATTGTTTTTTTCAATCTTCAGGAGTGGTCGAATAAAACAAAAGTTGATAAGGAAGAACCCAACAAGAGCACGCCTCAAGTGCAAAAACGGAATAATAGCAATCCTGCCAAGAACAAGAAGAGAAAATCACTTCCAAAATTGGAAGTGTCTACTACCTCGGGAGGCAAGAGTAATATGCAGACCCTTTCAGATGAGGAGGGATCTGATGCCCAGCCTACTGAACTAGAAGATGATGTTGAAGAATTGACTAAAGTTTCATGGTCTCAGAAGTCTTCATGGAGAGAACTTCTCGGTGACGGAGGCAACACTTCTTTCAGTGCTTCTCTGATATTGCCAGAGTTGGACTCTGGTAAGAATCAACAAAGTTCTGAACATCTGAGCACATCCATATCTACAGACAGCGAAACTGAAAACATGGAAAGTGATGGACACCTATGGAGCAAATCTACCAATACACAAGTAATAAAAGAGCTTGCTGAAGTTCAACCTACCAATGAACAAGTGATAAAAGAGCTTGCTGAAGCTCAACCTGCCAATAAACAAGTGATAGAAGATCTTAACGAAATGCAGAATAATAATAATGTGGTACCTAATAAGACAGGTAGAGGTGCTTCATGGCGGCGAAAACAATCCTGGACCCAACTGGTTAGTGAGAATAACAGTTCATTTAGCATTTCACATATTTTGCCTGGCATTACTTTCCCAGAGCCAATGGCCAAGGAGCCAATTATGGAACCTGCCATTTCCAATGATTGCAAGCATAATGATGTAGCCCAGGATACTATTGATAAAGTTCTCAGTGATGGGTTTAACTCAAGGGAGATCATACCAGAAAGGATTCAGCATATTGGTGCCAATGACATTGTGCCTGGTTCAGTAGCTGAGGAAAAAGTTGAAACAAGTCCAAGGGAAAGATCCATTGAAAATGTTGAAGTAGGTGAAACTTGCAGATTCATGAGAAGTGCAGCATCTTTGAAGGACTGGGCAAAAGCTAAGGCTGCTATAAGCAGATCGCTCAAAAGGAAACGTGGTGTGAAGTATGATCATAAGTTTCCATAGGGTGGAACTACGAAGGTTGAGCTACATTATCTTTCACATGGTTTTGTGCAGTATCAGAGCATCGTCAGTTAGTGTTTTTCTAATGCAAGCAGATGAAATTGAAAGGTAAGGAAGGGCAAATTAATTTCCAGATACTCGGATAAAAGCAAAATGATATTTGCACTTTGGGCATCATTTTTCCACTTTTCTGCAATGATATCAAAACCGGTTCAGAGAAGCTTGTAAATCGGTCTGATTGGGATCCAGTGATGTAGCTGGAATTGAATCGGCTTTTTGGATAAAAAATGCTATAGAACCATTGTTGTAACCCGGTATAACCTGGTTGGTTTTCCAAGTGAACCAGTGATCCGACCAGTTGAATTAAACTGAGTGAACTTGTGTATTATGAATTTTTTAAGGTGTAGCATTGTTTTTTAAAGTTTGAAATTTGTAAGTTATGAGTTTTTTAGAAAATTTTTAATATATAATAATTCATGTGTTTTGCCAAGTGACCAAGTATTCCGACAACATCCCGAGTTGGTTAACATTGCTCTTCTTTACATACACTTGTTTGGAGGAGAAAATAGTATATTGAAATGTGTATTTTTCATGATTTGTTACCCTAAAAGACATCAGTGAAAGAAAACAGGTTTTTTCATTGGATTAGATTGAGTTGATGAAGTGTATGTTTGGGTTTTCATTTGAGAAGTTTCAAATGGACAATTTCGATTTTCAAAGCACAAAACGGAGAAGTAAGTATGAAGTATTTTTTAGACAAATGTACATTCACGTTTAGATGAACGTTTAAACAAACACACCAAAATCATACGTACGTACATGTTTAGATGAACGATTATACAAACACACCAAAAATGATTCAAACCAAATCAATCAAAATTATTTCGAATTAGTTTGTTTAATTGATTTTTTCACTTTAAAATTCAAAACAATTTACAACAGTTGTTGAACTGATATGACATTTTTACATTGATTCTTGAATCATTTATGTCGACTATTTCACATCATTTGTTCAACTAATATAGAATGTGAAATATTTTTACGTCTATTCTTGAACTGATGAAAACTCATTTTCTACATCAGTTGCTAACTTAGCAAATGTAAAAGGTGATTGTTTTTTACGTCGAAAATTACTTCCAAAAACTAGTAATTAGTTAAAATATAGTTTTGAAAATTACTCTCTAACAACATATATCCGTTTAAAAAGAAGTTTCCGAAACTGTTTTAACAAATTAAGTTAATCCGGAAACTACTTTTTGGAATTGGTTCAAGTTCTTCGAGATTTAAAAAAAGGGTGTTAAGGTAAATTTCATATACCAAATAAAAGGGGTAGTGAGATGTACTTAGTAAATTGGCGGTGAAAATAGCAAAAGCCAGACTTCTAATCACCCCTCTGCCCATTGAAAAAATTCGGTAGGTGGTAAATTTTGATACCATAAAGAATGGCTCAACACAGTTTTGTTTCAGTTCACAAACCGTCATGAACACGATTTACAATACATATATTTTGTTCTCATACCATCCAAAGCAGCAGGCAGTAGAAAAATACTTATGTGACGCAATATCCCTGCATTCTATTCTTCTGGCTTCATCGGGGTATTGATAACCTCAATTGCCTGGGCTGAAGCATTTGAAAATTCCATCAGTGACTGGAAGAGAGGGGGAAGTCCAGTTTGGAGTTGCTGTAGGGTCATGACCCTACTATATTGAACAGCTTCCAAATAACCTGCTTTCGCATTTTCCACTTGCTTCTTAACGGCTTCTGTTTCAGTTTTCTTATGATGTATTGGATGCGTATCAGCGATATCTCCATCTATTCTTTGCTGCATCTCAGCCAAGGAGTTCAAGCATTTATGGAATTTACTTTCAAGTTTTTTAAACCTTTTCAGATTGTTATCTTCCTCGGTCTGCTGTGCAATTATCAAACGGATGGATGACAAAAGGCTTTTTATTGCATCTGCAGTCTCCTGTAAACAAGAAAATCCACTCATAAAATTCGTTGCACATTTTGCAATATGAAAAATGCTAACAACATACCCCCTATCATTGATTAAAATTTATTAAAAACTAAAAAGTCATCTGAAATTCATTAAATATGATGAGATCCCACTAAATTTTATGATTTGTAATATATTTCAACCAATAGTAAAGTGTTAAAAAGTATGTTGTTAGCATTTCTCTAGTAACATATAAAATAAGTGTCTTCCAGGAGTAAGAAGTGCTTATTCAAATTCAAACAAGTCATTTAATCTTTTGATCAACTTATGAACACATCCATAATGCAAGGAAGCAACTAATATTTTGTAATCAAAGTTTTGGGCAAAGAAATTGCTAGATATAAAATCATTCATGAGCATTTATACAACAGTTATTTGGAACAGTTGGTTCATGACAAGCTATATGTATTAGATCCTCTACAACCATGTGATCTAAAAAGCCAAGAACAAGTGCTCGTGCTTGGTCTATGCTTGGTTCTCTTCTGCTCTACTAACTACTACGTGAGACAAAACTAAAATCGAGTCACTTGGATGTTTGGAGCAAAGGCCAGTGTATAGTGGGTCAAAACAACACGAACAGAACAATATGAAGGCAGCATTACAGACAAAAGAAAGCAGTAACAAACTTGCAATAGTTTGAATTTTGAAAAAGAAAACAGGGATTTCTCAGTGTTGAGAAGAAAGTCATAAAAGAGAATAGGAAAGCAGTTGACAAAAAAAGTTATACTTTTCCTATCAAAAGAATAAACAAAGACCAAGGAAAAAAAAGTACCTTGTCGGGTAACCCGTTAAGCCCAAGCTCCCACTGTTCACAAATGGTAAGAATAGAAGAGTGATTGCTACATTCTTGACCATCTCTGAGGCTGTTGGTAAGCTGAATCCACTTAGAGAGGGTCCTCACATACTCCCGCTGAGATTTTATAAGTTTGCAAAAGCTATTATACCAATAAGAGACCTCAGTCTCAAATTGAATTGTAGCCTGGGGATGATATTCAGAATTAAGTATTGTATTATGATTATCACTGAGGTTGCTCAACTTCTGGGAGATGAGTGCTTGGGCTTGATGGGACTTATGCATTGTCCTCCACATTTGTGTCAACCTACAAAACAATCAAGAGATTAAAGCAAAACCCAACCCAGGACATGATTCAGTCATAATTATTACAGTTTAACTGTTTTCATTATCTGACACCTAAGTTAATAGATGTGTTTAAAAGACCTTCACCATAGGGCAAGACAAATGACATTAGACATTTAGTTCTTTATCAGGTAAATTCAACAAGGAATTTTTTTGAACATCCCCTTTCTTCTTTTTATTTACTATCATTATCAATCTTTCATTTCTTGATTACTTGCATTATCAGTTTGTGTTTTTTTTCCCTTCTTAATTTTAATGAAAGAGGAATCATATTCCTTGTTATTAAAGAAACTTCTGTAGCATATGTAACTAGTTACTCAAAAACCAGGATTCACACCAAAGGAGCAACTGTTTTGTGGACGGACAATCAAATGACAGATCCATAATGGCACAATGATATCTTTCAGAATATAACTATATGAGATGCACAGCTACTCTATCTCTTGAAACTCCCTTCTGTCTCATTTTATTTGCCGTTTAGTACACACATCTTAGAAAAATTTGATTATACCAAATCCCATAATAAAATAGTCTTATCCAACTAAAATACTGTTGTTAGCTACATCGTACAATCAATTATACATCTAATAGAACATTTATTTCTTGAGGGTGTTATTAGAATTTAGAAAGAAAAAAAAAACTTGATATTCTAAAGTGACAAATAATTTGAGACAAAAATATTCTAAAAGTGACAAATAAAATGAGATGGAGGGAGTATATTTATTCAAACATCTTAATGAGATAACAATTATTGGGAAACTTAGAGGGGTGTATTGGATTAGGATTTTAAAGGACTTTTTTAGTTGAAAAAAGTCCCATGGATTTTTAAAAGACTTTCAAAGATTTTCATGACTTTTAAAATTTTGTAGAATTTTACAAGACTTTTAACTAGGATTTCAATGGATTATGCAAGATTTTTAAATTAAGATTTTAATGGATTCTGCAGGACTTTGTGTAAACTTTACAGAATTTCATAAATTTTTTTGACATAGGATAAGAATTCAAGATTTTTTTTCATACATTTAAATTTAAAAAGAGTCAAATATAAAAATAATAAAAAAACAATAATGTCTGGATAAATAATAATAATAATTTTTCGTAATATCATGTCGTTCTAAATAGAATTCACCCACATATCCATAGCTGTAATAATCCTCCAAACATTAGTATCTTTTCGCTCTCGCTCCTGTGTTTTAATAATAAGCTCAAAATTATGATTTTCATTAACCAGTAATATTGAAGATGAAGGTTCGTCTATCACTTCAATTGGAAATTCATCATAATGACATTCTTTATGAAGAAAGTTATGTAGTCCCACACATGCTAAAATATATTCTAAACAACATTTCAAATTTTTTATAATTTGTGATTTAAAATATTTTATTTATAATTTTATAAATGATTAAAAAAAATAGTAGGACAACTACCCTACTCTCTTATAACTAAATATATCCCTTCATTTTATATCGGTAATAAAGTAGAAATTTACAAACATCAATTAAGAGAAAAAAAAAATCTGAAATTTGTTACAGGTACAAAATAATTTTTTTAATTTTTAATTGCTTTCAATTATTGACTCATTAAAAAATATTTTTAGTATTGAATTCTAAGATACTGCAATGTCTTATGTTAATTTTCTTTTTTAAAATATAAAAATCCTAATTTCATAATATAAAAATTAAAGAAATAAAATTCATAGTAAAAACAAGAAATAAAATAATTATTGAGTCATAAAAGGGGAATGATAACAATAACAAATTCAAGAGAGGGAGAGAGATAGTGTTTTTATGTTGAGAGGGTTCTTCCCTCAACTAAGATCCATTCTTATTTCATTCTACTTACACAAGCCCTAACTCAAATTCATTTTTTACACACACACACTTATATATATATATATTATTCTAATAAATCTAAATTGATTACAAGGTCTTGAAGATCTATAGTTGATTATAGAGATCATGATATCAATTTTAACTTTCACCTTTCTCTTTTCTTGACGCGTGTTATAAAAAAAATTACTACTTAAAAGTTAACATTTCAAGTGTTTTCTGTGTTATATAACTGAGGAACAATCTCAATTAAATAGATAAAAATAGAGCAAGTTAATTAAAGAGAATGGAGAGAAAAATAGAGCAAGTTAATGACACTATCATTTACGAATAGAAGTTTCACCAAATATGAGAATGGAATGAGAACAGTAGTACAGTATTATATATAAGTAGTAGAGTAGTATTATTAACAAGAGAAAAAAATGGAGAAAACATGAACATAGAAAAAAAAAGATGAAAAACTCACTTGAAAATTCTTGAAACACTTGAAAAGTCACTTCAAACAATCCTCCAAAATCTTGTAGGTTTGGATGGGATTGTTTTATGAATTTGGTATTTATAGATACCACTAAAAAGTCCATCAAAATCCCTCTAATACAACAATCCTTTAAAATCTCTATATTTTTGAATACCAATGGATTGTTTTTAAGTTGGTAAAAAGTCTTAAATGAATACCAATGAATTTTAATGGACTCTTTAAAAAATCTTGAAAATCCTAATTGAATACTACTGAATTGTTTTTAAGTGACATAAAATCCTGATTGAATACCAACAGACTTTTTTACTCAAAAAAAAGTCTTTTAAAATCCTATGAAATCCTAAACCAATACACCCTCCTTAGATTGATATTTTTATTTTTTTACTTAGATTGATATTAACACATCATTAAGTTAGAATATGTCTAATGCATCCAATTCTGAGAAATATACCCTGCAGTTAATGCAACCAGCTGGGGTAAAAGCTCCTCATCTATAATTTCCAAAATTGATGAAGTTGTTTCACTGATGCACTGCCGTAGGCTTATTAAATCGGACTCCAACTTCTCAACACTTGATCGAGTTTTCTCAATCTTGACCAAGTCAAGGTTCTCGTCCTCTTGTTTTCGCAATAATGAGGACTTCCTATCAAACTCCAAGGCAGCAACTCCCTCCTCCTACATTATATGACATTTGAACAATGAGAGAAGAAAGACATTCATGCCAAAAGATTTAAAATCCAAAAACAAAAATTTCCTTTCAGATAAAAGGGGAAAAAAATATAATGACCAAGATAAATTTGAAACCAATTTTATAATTTGGTGGCAATTTAACTATATATCAAACAGGCAAAGACTACAGTTTTATTTTTTGTGTTTATATTCTTCCTCTTGATTACTGTGTCACCAAAGAATCAAAGCATGGCACTATGACTAACTATAACTAAAAAGACTGACTCCAATTGATTCTTTCATCCCAATGGATTGAACGGTCCTGCTATGGCCTTACTGGATGCCCCTGCCTCCATGGTTACCACATCATAAAGATGTGAGTAATCAATAAGTAGTAAATACAACAAGTTATATATAATAACAATTCATCCCACATTAAATTAGGTTATCAATCAAGAGATCGAAGTAACTGTCAGGTTTCCTAGTGAAGGCAAATGAGAGTAGTTTCCTAGATTAGGTTACCTTAAGATGGAGATCACAGTGGCAGTGATGAGAAACGATGCCAAAGATCACAAAATTGGCAGGGCAGCAGCCATGGTGACAAAAGGTGAGGAAGATCACATGGAATGAGAGAGGAAAGCCATTGAAAAACAAAATAGTTCAATATTTTTAGGAATGTGGTAGCTGAGTTGTGACAGTAGTCTTGGTAGATGGTACTGCTCTAATACCATGTTAAATTTAGTAGAGAAGAATGTAGAGAGAATAAGAGAACCTAGAGAAAGAAACAGCTTTTAATTCAGTAGAATATGTAATAGATACGTTCTGCATATCATTCCATGCAAATGGACATAGGTCTCTTATGGCTACCATGGCTATTACAATTAGAGTATCTGAAAATGTCTCACAACATCTCAAACTATTCTATGGCATTAATCTCCTTATATCCTCATTATCTCTTAGGATTGATTACCATAATTTGGAAAATATAAGGTGCGGACACATGAAAAACTAGTTACTAGTAGTGCTCTGGAATATAAAAACACTTCCAGTGACCGTTGGCTAGTGGGAGTTAGTTACTAGTATTCATTATTCAATACACTCTTGTATCAAATATATAAATATATATTAAATAGTAAATACCTTTTATTTTTCTATCTAGTCACTCTTCACATTTTGAAACAGAGACAGTGCTCTCCCTATATGCCTCGAAGTTCTGTTCCTGATCTTTTTTTTTTCACTAGATATATTTTGCATTAAACGTTTTTGTCTGTCCCCTATGACAGCCACATAATACGTGGGCCACACTCAATTGCCAACTTTCTAAATTCCTGTCTATAAAATCAGATAGCTAGATTCACCAGCTTACCTTAAGTGCCTTGAAAAGTTTCTTCTCTGCTGCATATAACTTTTTAAGTGTGGCACAATGAGCTCCAGGCTTGCATGGTTCACTATGACCAGAAAACTCAGCACCATCTTTGGTGGATGGAGGTGATTTTGAATACCTACTCCATGGCAGTACATTGAAGACCTTTGCAGAATTGCCTCTCTTCCCTACAAATAACACAGCCACAGTAAAAAATTATTACCACCCACACCACATAGGAAATGAATGACGTCTAAAACAAATGTTAAGTACAATAAGACAAATCCTACTAATGTCATTTGACAATATAAGACAATATAATATTATGTCATTTGAAGAAAATTATTAGTCAAGAAGAAAGGCTACTACAACATATTTTAAAAGCTTGACAATTTCAAAAGTTTAGAGTTACCTACCAATGTCTTCTGCGATCTATTAAAGATGCAACAAATACAATAATTGTAATCCCTACGAATGCAGAAGTTATTATATAAGCTGTAATTATTATTATTATTTTTTTTGAAGAAATAACTAACCTCATTTTTATGAGTATTAAAAGATGCATTATAATAAATACGAATATCAAATGAAACTGCAAAGTTCCAATACATAAAGACAGAAGACAAAAGGTAAGGGTCAACCAATCACAACACAATCTATCATAATGGAACTAATCCTAAAGGGTACACAGTATGTAGCCTTACTATCGTGATGCCCAGAATTCTGCCACAGAATAGTATCTCCTCCACTGATATCAATCAGAACAGCAATTTCCTTTATACATCCAGATGCTAGCAGGAATTGATCATCTAACTCTTTACCTATACCCTCCAATGTTTTCCCACTTCTACGACCCACCACAGGCATAGCTGTAGTCTCTTTTCTATACAAATCCATTGCAGAGGAATTTTCATCAACAGGCCCCATTAACTGTTGCTTGCCCCTACGCAATTTTTCAGCCATTACAGCAGCTTCTGCTTCTGCCTCTTCATCCTCAAATTCTGTTTTGGTTTCTTCCCAATTATCCTCTTCCCCTGGTTCTACCATTTCCTTTCCATCAGTGGATCGAAAAAGCCTTAATGAGCTCAAAGTTGGATCAATTTGCAGCGGAGGAACATTGCTCTCATCATTCTCTAGTATTTCATCTTCGTGCACTGTTGTCTTGTCAGCAAGAAAAGGAGGCCGCGGAGGCGGTAGCAGAGGGGATGCATTAGAGGCAGTTTCCAACTCAATTGAATCAGACTCAGTGAATTGCCTAAGGGTAGCACCAGTGTTCTTCAATGATTTCAAATAAGCTAATAGGGAATCAGAAAACTCCCCTCTAATCTTAACCAACTGTTTAATTGCCTTCTTCCTTTCCTTGCACGTGCCAACCTTCGCATCCTCTTCAATACTTGACCAAACACAACCCATTTTACAAGACAAAAGCCCCCCAAAAATCCCTTAACGAATGTTCTAATCTACACTTTTTCAAAATAATTAAGTAACAATCTTTGTACTGCCAAGAACTCAGCTGGTATGTTCAACTCAATCAATAGATACCGGCGATTCAATAGTCTTCAAAATGCCCAATATTTCAATAACCACAAGATTTCCACCTACAAAAACAAATAAACATAATAAATTAAACTACAAGGAAAACATAATTACAAAACAAAATACCCCATTTAAAGTATTTCACGGTTCTCAACTCAACCATAGCCACAAATAAAACAAACACGACCTTACTTAACTCCTGCTTCATTAATTTTCTAAACGAATTCCTCACATGATTTGTCACAACCCCCATAACTAACCCAGAATCTGGAGAACAGAATATGCATTACACTCTCCAGATGACACAGAAAGGAGAAGAAAAACCGAACGAAACATGTACCCATGACCAAACTCTATATGGAAAACAAAAAAAGGCTCCAAATTCGAAACAAAAGGGCAATTTATTTAATTCAATAAAAAAATGCTGAAAATAGAAAGATAAAAAAAAAAAAACGAAAGAGAGAGGAAACGCGAAGAATTGTTCTGACACAGAAGGTGTCGGAGACTGCAACACGCGAGTAACTCATCAGAGCATGGCAAAATGTGGAGACAGAAAGGTGGTTCTAAAAAAAGCATTGGAGAGAACCACACTTTGTTGGGTTTTTAGAGAACAAAGAAAGAGAGAGAGAGAGAGCTCGAAACCCGAGAGAGAAGCATCCAAAGAAGAAGAAGAAAAGAGAGAGAGGAATTGGAGTTACTTACTAGTGTGGTTGAAGTTGCTACACAGAGAGAAGAAGAAGAAGAAAATACTAAATAGTGTGGAAGAGTGTGTGATGATAGCAATAAAGATTAGGTCGTTGAGCATGTGATAGTAGTAAAGCAGAGCGTGGTGGAGTTCTGCATTGGCAAGAGAAAGAGAAGAATGGAGTGGGATGGTAGCTATGAGCTTTCAGTGAGAGAAACTACTTTTCATCAAAAGCTTTATTGGACTTCACATTCATACATCTATCTACATGTCAATCAAACAACTTAGTTACTTATTTTCATACTAAAAACATAATTTTTAGATATAAATTTAGAAATATTTTAAAAAAGTTATTAATTTTTTAATAAAAATATTCTTAAAAACGCTGTTCATAACATCTGATACAGAAATGAGAAAACCGAACATGGAAGGACAATGTAAGCGTTACATGTTACTTTGGGACACTGGTTTTCACAGTGAGGCTAATTAGTTACTATTATTAATAAAGTAGTAGTGTAGAACTAAGGACAAGAAAACTATAAGAAAACAAAAATAATTATAGTTGGGTTTCTTTATGAGTGTCACCTGTCTGCTTGCAACAATGGAATGGTTGGAAGAAAATAAGTATGAGAAATTAAAAAATAGGTTATTTGACTGTGTAAAAATAGTTCTTAGGCCTTACACTTTATTATTTTCTCACCAAAGTGAACAAAAATTTCAATAATGATCTGCGAGAGACCAATTATGAATTGTTGATACTCGATTATCGAATTCTTTTTATATGCAAAAACGAGTAATTCTTTTATTTATTTTTCTTTAATATGATGTACACAATATTTTAAAATTAGTAATTTAAGAATTAATTTATATTCACAAAACATAATTTTTATTGATAAAATATTTTTTATTTAATTGATTAAAATTTTGATTTACTTGATTAAATTAAAAATTTAATTTATTATTGAATTTAAAAGTTAATTTTAAAATAATTTTTATTCTTTTATGATTTAAACTAAACATTTATATTTATATTATCTAAACAATTTCATAAACCCTAAAATTTCTTGAGGATTTAATTATAATGTATTTGTTTTAGATAAAAGTTTAAATTGAAATAAAGTTTGATCACATTTAAAAATATAAAATAAAAATTGAATTCAATCTTAAAGTTCTAATTAGTAAGAGTGGATGAATTTGTTTGACTGGATTATTCATAGAGGACTTTAATTATAATATACTAGTTTTTAGTTTGATAAATATAAATCAAATTATACAGTATTAAACTCAACTAACCGGTAAATAGATAGTGACATATGTTATTAGCTTCTTATCTAATAATTTTATGAAGTAATTTCCTATCTATGACTTTATTCATAAAAAAATTATTATGTATTTACAAGGGTAAATTATTAATTTTTGTTTTAATTATTTTAAAATTTATACATTAAAAACCATTCAATTAGTAGACAATTTATATCCATAACATATCAAAATTAAATTCTATATTTTCTGATAATAACAGCCTCTAGTTTTTGTGATTTTGATAAGTGGGATGCCGAGGCAGAAACGAATATCATGGGTCCATATCTTAGGGTTTAAGTTACATCTAATACGTATCATTAGTCATTAGATTATTTGGATGTTGGGCAGTGCAATTATCCTTTTCAACCTTTTGGCGTCGTGCAGCATAAAAAGCATTACTTTCTGGCCTGAATACTTGATGGTAGGTAGTAGTAATATTATTATTGTCTTTGTATTTTGGCCAACCAAGCTTCAACAATAACAAGCCAATTTTGCTAGCAATTCTTATACTTTGTTCATTATAATATAATATAATGTTTTTTGTATGTTGGCAGTGGCATGCTTATCCTTTGTTATTACTTATTAGCTAAGGGAGTGCACATGCTTTTAGTAATCCCTAGTTTCTGCATGCTATGTCTCCATTGTGAGGGCCCTTATTTTGCAATTTCTTTTGCTTCATTTATATTTTTTGGTATCAATTATTTTAAGTTAACATGCATGGGATGGTCCCAGTCCTGTCTTGCTATTTCCATAATGTCTCCAAAAGAAAAAGTTGGCATGAGTCTAAGTCAAACGTGGTTAGATAGTCCTTCAAGAAAATAAAAGTAAGAAAAGTTTAGAATAGATAGGTTTTTGGGTCTAGCACATGTTTATGTACTCAACTGCATATGTTGCTCGAGAAAAGGCTCATCAATTTTCTTCATTCATTTACTCTTCGTCCATTTTTTTTTTATTCGTTACTTTATCCTTGTCTAACTATTTTTTTTAAAATTTTTTTTTTCATAATTTCTTCTCTCCACTAATCAAGATACTTGCAACATGTTTTTAATTTTAATTTTTCACTCTATCTTTAATATTGTATATATTGGATACAAGATTGTCACTTTTTTTTGAAGATATTATTTTTGCAATATCCTATTTTTTAATAATAAAAAAATAAATAAAATATTATAAGAAAATATTTTATTTATAAAATAAAATGGAGAAAGGTAAATTAAAAGATTTTGGATTGAATTTTGGGTTCAACATAGAGACTGATTTAAAGGAAGAACCGGAGAGGTAGTTAGGTCATTATGCACCTCTTGAAAAACCTACAACACTTACAAGAGGGAACTTAAAGAGAAGGTGCATATTAGCATTCAAAACTTCTAGAAGCTCATTGATTCGGAAGATCGTCACTCCAAGTAAGGAAGAGTGAGATTATTACATCCACGAACATTATGATGGATACGAGTAGAGAGCCAATCTCTAAGTCTCTTAAGTTATTGATTTGATTTGATTTGATTTTTATGGATGATTATGTGCATGCTCTAAGGTCGAATTATTATATTATCCTTATAATTTCATGCGTGAATTATAATTGAATTAATTTGATGATGAATTGTAATTTGAGGGTTGAGAATATGAGATTTGAGAGTTTTGAGTTTATTGGATGTATGACTTAGTGATTTGGTGTGATTTGTTTAATTTTAAAAATTTTGATATGAACACATATCGGTATTTAGATTATTGTTTTCTATGTGATTAACTAAATAGAGTTTTATTTGTTAGGTTGGAAAGTAGAATTTGAGAATATAACTTAAACTCAAGAATCACATAAAAACGTTAAGAAACAATCAAATTATGTTTGTCCCAAGATGAGTCTCACATTCTATGCGCGAAATATAACTCTTGAAGCTCGTAAGCATTTCTAGGACCCTTAGATGACTGAATCATGGTAGTCATAAGAATTGTAGTCTTGGATGTTAGCTTTCCAATGGAGTTAGAATCATCCAAAAAGGAGGTCTAAAACTCAAATTAATGAGCGAAGGTCAAACTGTCAGAATTAAGCTAAAATACTACGATTTTGTAATTTTAAAAAATACTAAATGGTAAGATCAACTATTGAGGTCAACGTATAAGTGGTAGATAAATATCTTAGATTTCTAATAAAAATAAGATCAACTTGATATCATATATACATCTCTAGATAACTTGTTTAGACCTCACGATGTCATAGAAACTTAAGATAAAAAGAAATAGTTTGTAAGTTGTTGTATTCCTTAAGTGTTTAATCTTGAGACTTTGTGTGCCTATATGTGATATGAAACGTGGATGTTTGAATTGAGAATAATGTGTACAATGTTTGAGACATTAATTAATGATGTTATAATGCTATAATGCACAATGAGTGAATAGTATGAGTAACGATAATGTATAATGTTATGTTGTGTGATGATAATATATAATGATAATATGATGCATGAAATGAATGATGATGTGATGCAATATTGAGTTGTGATGAAGCATATTGTGACGAAACATGATTGAGTTAATGTATAGAGAGTTATGTTGAGATATCATTGTGTTATTATGATGAATATTGTGATAATGCATATTGTGAAAGTATTGATGATCGATGAGATGAGATAAATAAGTCTAATGTTGTAGACTGGCACTCAAGGAGATAAGTTATGCATATTGTGTTGTTGTAATGTGTGTATTGAGTCCATGCATACACGTAACCCAACCCTAAAGTACTAAGTCTATCCCTCTCTCAATTCATTTGTTACTTTTGAAACCCTAGTGTCACTTCTAAGAACTCGAGAACTTCACTTGTTAATGAAATTCTAATGTTGTTCTACTTTGTTTTGTAGCTTGTCATCATCCTTGAATGGTTCAATCCATGTGATTTTAGATCGTTTCACTAAAAGGATGTAGCAATTCATGAGTCCCTCTTAGTCTTTCTCACTAAAAAACAAAAGGTATTTTTTGTTGAGTCATAACATGTTCGATTGTTTGTTTCTATCTTTATGTAATTATATTTTTATGATGAATCATGTTTCTAGTTTATTTATATTTATTTTGAATGTTACTGGGTTAGGTTTTAGTGGTGAAAATCTATGTAGTGAGAGCCATGCCTTTTTTAGAATAAAACCATGTTTTGGTTGCATTATCGAACTAGCACAGTAACACTTGATTTAGTAAGAATCATGATGCATGATTATAACCTTTTGAGTTTTTTTGTTTTTGTTTTTTGATAATGAGTTTTGAAGCTAACCAAATGCTCTTTGTCTTCCATTCACAGGCACAAAGAATAGGTAAGGGTTGACATGATTAAAAGTATTTGCATCATGGATTAAGGTTGTGGAAAATATAAGTATATTATTGTGATATTAATTTTCCATCTTAAACAATTTACCAATGTTTGTTTGTTCAATTAATGTATCATTCTAGGCAAGTTATCAACTTTTAAATTTGGGTTTTCAACTTAATCTTTGCAGATACTTGTCAGATGTTGAACTACTACTCATAATTGGAAATTTTGGCTATCAACAAGCATATTATATCATTGATAAAGTTTTGACGCAAGCGCACCAAGTCATTATAGTATAGGAGTTAAAAAGTTGCAAACCTCAGGGACTTGGAAGATATTTATAATTTATGCTATCCTAGTAAAAACTTGAAATATAAAGATTCATAAATATTATGAACATAATGTTGATCATTTTTATATTGAAGTTATAAAAGATAACAAGCAAAACAATAATAAAATTGAAAGATAACAGTATGTAAATCTATTGAGATTAAACTTCATCGATCTCACCCTTATGTGCTCCTAAAAGATCTACATATGATTTCTATTATCCAATATCATTGAGCTTGCTAAATTCATTCCAAATCAACTCATTGTATTTAGAAATTCTAAGGAGTCTAACTCAATAAATGATTCCTCTGTTTATCAAATTA